GACAGGGCGTGGGTTGATGGGTGTGTGGGGGGGGGGGGGGTTGCTATGTGAGTCGGTCATGGACTGCGTGGCCTTGTGGATCTGGCATCATGTCCCAGGGGGTTTTTTAGGGAACAGATGAGAGGCTTCCATGACTTGCTGAGACAACCCCCCACCCGTTTGTATGGTTGGGATGGAGTTCAATCTCAATGGCTTCCTTAATGATGCAATCCATATAACGGGTCTTGGTGGCGAGGATGGAGGTATTCTGAAGCTGAATGCGGTGTCCCAAATCAATGCTGTGTTCAGCTACAGCTGACTTGTCCTGGTACAACATCAAATCGGTGGGTCTGTCTTCAAACAAATCATCCACTTTCCTCCTGCCGGTCAAAGCTAGCCTGGGACTAAGGACACTGGGTGTATACAGTATCCCATGAGAGTGTGGCAAGGTCTCTGTTGGGCAGACAGGCCACTCCGTGAACACAAGGTTGAAGGAGCGTCAGCGGCACATCCGGACAAGTCAGCTGTAGCTGAACACAGCATCAATTTGGGACACTGCATTCAACTTCAGAATACCTCCATCCTTGCCACCAAGACCCGATATATGGATCACATTATTAGGGAAGCCATTGAGACTGAGCTCCATCCCAACAACTTGAACAGAGAGATGGGTAATAACATAAATACCACAAAGAAAATATAGAATCTTTAATTGGGGCTAGTAAGGAGGTTGGTCTAGAAATAAACACAGAGAAAACTAAGTATATGTTGCTGTCTAATCACCAGAATGCAGGGCAAAATCATGACATAAAGATCACTAACAGATGCTTTGAAAATGTGGCACAGGTCAAAGATTAGGGAATGACAGTAACAAATCAAAATTAGATTGAGGAAGAAATTAAGACGAGTGAATTTGGGTAATGCTTGCTACTGTTTGTTCAAGAACCTTTTGTCTTCTCTTCTAATGTCTAAAAATGTAAAAATTACAATAAACAAAACTATAATTTTGCCTGTGGTTCTGTATTGGTGTGAAACTTGGTCTCTGACATTAAGGGAGGAATATAGACTGGGGGTGTTTGAGAACAGGGTGCTGAGGAGAATATTTGGACTCAAGAGGGATGAAGTCACAGGAAGTTGGCAAAAATTACATAATGAGGAGCTTCATAACTTGTACTCTTCACCAAGTATAATTAGAATGATCAAAGTTAAGGAGGATGAGATGGGAAGGGCATGTAGCATGAATAGGGGAGAAGAGGAATGCACATAGGATATTGGCAGGAAAGCCAGAAGGAAAGAGACCACTAGGAATACCAAGATATATGTGGGTGGATACTATTAAAATGGATATTAGAGATATAAGATGAGGTGGTATGAACTGGACTGGTGAAGGGCTCTTGTGAACATGGTAATAAACCTTGAGAAGTTCTTGAGTACCTGCATAATTGGCAGCTTCTCAAGAAGGGCTCAGCTCCATAGAGTGAGTGAGTGAGTCAGTTCAAGGTGTGACTATGTGAATATTTAATATGATGTTACAGTCTTATTTTGTGGCACAGAGACTTGCAAATTAGTTGGTGCTGGTGCTAATCACTGTCTACAGAATGTTATGAATGTTAGTAATGTGTGGCTGGACATGGGTTGATGTGTGCCAAATGTGCTCATTAGTACTTAAACACAACATGTGATCACTGTTTGTATTATGTCCATGTCTTAAGTTAATGCTTATCACACACAGAATGTCACAGTTTAGACCATTAAGTAAAGCATAATGTAAATACTACTGAGATGAAGCATAGAAAATTCATAAATTGCATAAACTACATTGGTCAAAACAACATTGTCACTGATATTATTGTATTATGGGGTGGGTGACATAATGTAGTATGCATAATTCCATGTACATGTATCATTTATATTACAGCATTCATTTTAATCAAATTTTCTACAGTGAATTCTTCCTAAAACTAGAGCCGGGCCAGAAGCAAACTTGTAGATGTATTGGACAATCAGGACAGTAAAATGGCAAAGTTTCCTGGACTTAATCAAGCACTGCACTGTGAAGACATATGGGGGAGTGGAGGTGTAGCTCCACCATTCTAAACCTTGGTACTGAATGGAGTTCAGTTGTCAGCTTCATGCACCTGTCACTCTACCACCTGAGAAAGAGCCCTGGTATCCATTGTATAGGGAGGCTGGGTGGGCTCTAGATGTTACGGAGAAGAGCAAATCTCATGCCCGTACCAGAAATTGAACCCAAACTCCTTTGTCACCAGTTACTATACTGATGGTGCTAGGGCCATTAATTCTTAAATTTATATTCAGTACATTGTTGATTTTTAAGGCACTTAACAATACTGTTTCAAACGCAGAATTTATTTACAGTAGTTTTGAGTGAGATGGGACAAAGCTCGTGAATGACAAATAGGTAAGGATTTTGAAAGAAGCAGTTCTGGGTCTTCATGCAGGTGATACCCTGATATTAGTTTAGATAGATGGAGGAGAATCACGAACACCTTTGGCAGGATAGCCAGTACCCTCATCAAGATTCATGGAGGTATCTGGTTCTGATCAGGTACCTCTTAAATGAAGATCTTAGAGCCACACCACTACAGCAGCTTATATGACTGATGAAGCAAGAAACAAGAGGATCAATAAAAAGTGCAACACCCACAACAAAACTATTGAAAGTGTGGCCTTACAGAGTAACAGTTGGACACTCTTTGCAACCATATGGTCCCATAATGTCTATAACTGGTATATTCTGTCAGTTCATGATGGGAATCAATCCAGAGTTGACATTTATGAGTAGAGGCTTGGGTGTATTTGGACACATGAACACAAAGAGCTCTATACATTCTAGAGCCTGAGAAGCAGTATGTAACATGAACTGTTACACATAATAAAAAGCTATGGAATACAAGTTAATGGCCTTACAGTGCTTTCAGCTTTCCAGCATGTCTGGAACTTCAGATGTATCATAAAATAATGTATATTTTATCAAGTGTTCTAAGTAACAACCTATTCCTGGATTGTTTAACATGTACATGGGCTATATAGCATCGAATGGTAGGAAGGCTGAGAGTTTTGATTTGAGAAGGATGTGGAAGTGGTCATGGTCTATTTTAAGGTGCTGTCCCAGCATTTATATGGAGGAACTGAGGAAAATCACAAAAGAACCTTAGTCAGGATATCAGGTCTTTGGGGTTGAGAATGAGATTTAGGACCTATGAACCATGAAAGGTGCTAATCAGTAACCACAATGTACAGGGTCATTCAGAATAACAAAGTTGTTTTGGCTGATGTATCATGTGTAGTAGCCTCAACTGTATTTTAAAAACTTGGTAAAGTAAAATGTACAGGGTTCACTGTGAGGAAGTGGCCAAACTGCATGAGGTCATTAAACAAGTGATCTTGTGCAACATGAATTGGTATTTCAGTGTGTGTCTCATTTTCGATAGTGACTTAAGTATGTATATTCAGAGTTGAATACTCATGGAAGTAGAAATAATTAGTAGAAACATTTATTGTACAGCTATTGGTAAATCTACAGTGAATGTTCAAACAAGTGATCTGTTGTAAATTCTGCTGTTATGAAGTTACAAGTATTCAGAGTTCAGCCCTTGCATGTGAGACAGGGTGAGTTGAGTGTCAGTGGTGGCACTTAGGATAATGGGATGATAAGTG